AAGGATAATTGCGGATAAAATGATTATTGCAATAAAAAAAGTAGCGACGATGATGATGATGATTGTGAAAAAGAAGATGATGATGATGACACATATGATAATGATGATAACGACGCCGATGATGTTAGCAGTTGTGAGTATAATAATGATGATAACTATTATCATGATTAGCACAGCACAACAGCAACAGCAACAACTACACAACAACAACAGCAGCAGCAACAACTACACAAAAACAGCAGCAACAACACAACAACAGCAGCAGCATCAACAACACCACACGGCAATTAGACTTGCAACATCATGGAGTTTCGTTTGAAGCACCTTTGCCTTTATTGAACGCTCCCATTCCAATAGTTGACTTGCTTTATTTAGCCAATTTTTTTATTTTGTATTTTCTGTGTTATTTGTGTTCATTTTTCTGTCTTTTTTGTCATTTCAAATTTATGTCATTTTTTTATTGTTGTTGCTAATTTGTTTCTAAAATTTGCAGTTTTTATTAGAGCGATAAATGTGTACAACTAATTTCATTTTGGAATTTTGTATTGTGCTTTATATATGTATGAGTGGGTATGCGCGTGTGTATGTATATGTGTCTGCGTGTGTGTGCATGTATGTATGTGTGTCTGTGTGTGTATGTATGTGTGTGTATGTATATATGTATGTATGTATGTGTGTGTGTGTGTCTACGTGTGTGAAAGTATACGTGTGTATGTATTTGTATCCACGTGTGTGTATGTATGTGTTTGCGTGTGTGTACATATATGTGTATGTATGTGTGTGTATGTATGTGAGTAAATAAATATGTATTGTTGCAAAAATTTAGGCGCAACGTTCATCTGTAGCTGTAAATATTGGGACTTTTGTTAATTTTAAAGTTCAATTTCGAATATTTTTTGATAGCTATGCTGAGAGTCGATTGATTGATTTCATTTTTTTTTATATTGTTGTTATTAAAAATGTTGTTGGTTATATTCATGGGGTTTTTTGTATGCGGCTACTGTTGTTGTTATTGTTGTTTTTATTGTTATTAGTGTTGTTGTTGTTATTTTTGTTGTTATTGTTTGGTATTATTACTATTGGTAAATCAATATTATTGTTTTAATTTGTTTTCATGAGTTAGTGCATTTTTGTAAACAATGACAACTTTTGCAAAATAATTTAGAAAAATTTTTTCAAATTCCAAACTTACAATTATTAGAGCAGTACAATAGGGAGAATATTTTCATTCATAAAATAACCTAAAAACAAAATCATTGTTGGCTAAAAATGCAAAATTTTTCAATGAACTTATAGCAATTGTTTTATATTGTAAAAATTTTTTATCGAATCGTGTCAGATAAAACATAGTTTAGATGAACAATTTTTTTTAGCGGTGATGAACATGGTGAGTGGTAGTATAATTATAGTAAATTTTCTATATAGAAAAACCCTGTAGAAAACAGAAACCTACTCAAAAAAGAATTCTGGGTCAACCTGCAAAAAAATGTTTCTGATTATTTTTCATAAAATTTAGCTTGTTAATGGATGTAGTCACCAAAAAACGTTCCAGATCCTTCCAAAGCCAATTTTTGATTGCACGACTGTTGCAAAAAATTTGTTCAACGTGGTCAATATAGTAGTATTAATACCAATTCATAAAAACTAACATTTATCTATTTTTTGAATGTAGAAATTTTGAAAAATTAAAACATAGTGTACAACAATATTGTTATTTGAATGTGCAAGAACTCCTATGAATGAGATCTAAATAATGCCAACGAACACGTCTCCAACAGATACAATGTTACAGAAACGTATAGAACAGGGGTGGGCAAATTACGGCTCACGAAGCTATTTTGTGTGCCAAAGAAAGGTCGTCAGCCAGGCATTATAGCCAAAAAAAGAGCCACAAATCTTAAAAATACTCCTCCGGATCGAAAAAATTTGCTATTTAAGTATATATGCGGCCCTTCAAAGGTAAAATATTTCTCAATGCGGCCCTCACAACAAAAAGTTTGCCCACCCACCTTTGGTTTAAAATAATTGTATGACACTTTAATGAAACATTTTCCTTACAATAAATTTCCTTTAATTAAATTACATCAACTAATATTTACATTAAAAAGTTTTCATATTTAAAAAAATCTTATTTTAAGTTTAATAAAAAAAATAAATTGAAACATTATTTAAACAAATATCAAATGGCACATCGCGAATCAAATAAAATTTTAAATTGAATTTTTGAAAAAAAAAGTTTTAATAGATGAATAAAATGATATAGCGGCGTACCTATTGAATACTCAAAAAGATGGTAGCCAATGGAAAAAATTTAATCAAAATTTTTCATTCGTTATTTATATTTGCCTGGTTTTATAGAATTATCCTGTCATCATCCAAAAACATCACGAAAATCATTATCTGAAATTGTTATTTGATTTTATTATTATTGCCATTGTAATTATCATCGTCAAATCATCATCAGCATTCATCATCATCATCATCATAATCATCATCAAAACTAACATCATCATCATCATCTCCATTATAAAGGTACCGGCATCGTTTTGATCACGTGCTGTTCATTATGGAAGGTTGATTTTCCACA